GGCTGTGACCGCTACGAGCCGCTGGCGCCCGCGCTGCCGGCCGCCGGCGAGCAGGACTGCTGCGGGGAGCGCGTGGTGATCAACATCTCCGGGCTGCGCTTCGAGACGCAGCTCAAGACCCTGTGCCAGTTCCCGGAGACGCTGCTGGGCGACCCGAAGCGGCGCATGAGGTACTTCGACCCGCTCCGCAACGAGTACTTCTTCGACCGCAACCGGCCCAGCTTCGACGCCATCCTTTACTACTACCAGTCCGGGGGCCGCATCCGCCGCCCAGTCAACGTGCCCATCGACATCTTCTCCGAAGAGATCCGCTTCTACCAGCTGGGCGAGGAGGCCATGGAGAAGTTCCGCGAGGACGAGGGCTTCCTGCGGGAGGAGGAGCGGCCCCTGCCCCGCCGCGACTTCCAGCGCCAGGTGTGGCTGCTCTTCGAGTACCCGGAGAGCTCCGGGCCGGCCCGGGGCATCGCCATCGTGTCCGTGCTCGTCATCCTCATCTCCATTGTCATCTTCTGCTTGGAGACGCTGCCCGAGTTCCGCGATGAGAAGGACTACCCCGCCTCGCCGTCGCAGGACCTTTTCCGGACGGCCAGCAACGGTACGTCGGGTGCCCCTGCGGGAGCCTCCAGCTTCTCAGATCCCTTCTTCGTGGTGGAGACCCTGTGCATCATCTGGTTCTCCTTTGAGCTGCTGGTGCGGTTCTTCGCTTGCCCCAGCAAAGCCACCTTCTCTCGAAATATCATGAACCTGATAGACGTCGTGGCCATCATCCCTTATTTCATCACTCTGGGCACGGAGCTGGCTGAGCGACAGGGCAATGGACAGCAGGCCATGTCCCTGGCCATCCTGAGGGTCATTCGCCTGGTGAGGGTCTTCCGCATCTTCAAGCTCTCCCGCCACTCCAAGGGGCTGCAGATCCTGGGGCAGACGCTGAAGGCTTCCATGCGAGAGTTGGGGTTACTTATCTTTTTCCTCTTTATTGGGGTCATCCTTTTTTCCAGTGCGGTCTACTTTGCCGAGGCAGATGACCCCACTTCGGGTTTTAGCAGTATCCCGGATGCCTTCTGGTGGGCAGTGGTAACCATGACAACAGTAGGTTATGGTGATATGCACCCAGTGACCATAGGGGGCAAGATTGTGGGATCGCTTTGTGCCATCGCTGGTGTCTTGACCATTGCTTTGCCAGTTCCCGTGATTGTTTCCAACTTCAATTACTTTTACCACCGCGAAACCGAAGGTGAAGAGCAAGCCCAGTACATGCACGTGGGGAGTTGCCAGCACCTCTCGTCTTCAGCTGAGGAGCTACGAAAAGCAAGGAGTAACTCGACTCTGAGTAAGTCGGAGTATATGGTGATCGAAGAGGGGGGTATGAACCATAGCACCTTCCCGCAGACCACTTTCAAGACGGGCAATTCCACTGCCACCTGCACCACGAACAATAACCCAAACTCCTGTGTCAACATCAAGAAAATATTCACCGATGTTTAATATATGATACAAGTGACATACTGTGCTCAGTATTGTGTGGAATGTGCCCCCTTGGTCTGTGTATGCCCTTGTTTTATACATTTCCAGACCATTCATTGAGGAAACAACACGAGGACGTGAAAGGTGCACTTCTTTCTCCCTCTCCCTACTGCTTCATACTGAGACAGGTGTCTGTTTTGCAAGTGGGCTGCATTCTCTCAGCTCTCTTTTTTTTTTTTTTTTCTTTTGCTCCCTCTCTCTTAAAATAACAAATAACTTACTCTGAACTTGATTTCTAGTACCCGCCCTATTAAAAAAAAACACAGTACATCCTGGGGGGAAATGAAACTAAAGAGCTGTTAGAGTAACAGTTTGACCTCAAAATATAAAGGCAGTTTTTCTGTACTGACTAAAGCAGACAGGTACTCAGATGATGCTTCAGTTGGGACCTTCCAACATTATTGAATATTTAACTCAATTGCCTACTCTGTGGATATGTGGATGGAAAGTCTAATTAGAACGACTTGTAAACCCACCATAAGTTTATTTGGTTTTTGACTGGAATTTCTATTTGAACCTTCCTCCCAGAATTTTAAGGGTCTCTACAACTTTGAACAAAAGGAAATGCCCAAGATGTCCTGATCTGACTAATTAGTTTAACTCTTCCTGGCTTGTTAAGCATTTCAAAAGTATTAGATGAACAGTTTAATCCCCGCGAAGTTCTGTGCATGTGTCCCAGCCAAAACCTATCAAAGTCTAGAAACAGATGTTTTCAGTGCTGCTAAGAGAAACAAAAAATTTCCTAATGCATCTGAGAGATAAGCTTCTGCAGTATCACAAGAAGATTAAAGTGGCAGACACCCCTTCCAGTGGAAGTTACTAATTTGGACCTGACTGACGCAGTTCCCATAGCAACCCATGTTTCCTGGGAAACCCGAAAAAGGTTGTCATGGCATCTCTTGCTCTCTAGCCCCACCCCCACTCCCTAGCCCTTGCTGTTTCCACAGTAACCTTTCCAGATGGTTCCTACTTACATGATTTCATAAAGAAAGCCACTGTTTGAATAAACCGCACAAGTAAAGTTAAGCCCGAGGATCTGAGGAGGTGAAATGACTCACAAGATGAATATTTTTTTACTACAAAAATTCATTGATGTCATTCCATAATAACTGAATCAAGAAGGAAAAGGACGTTGGAATGTTAGCTATAACCCACAATAAGGCATGATATGAATTAAATGCCAGTTATTAGGCAATAATTCTAAACGATGCTTCTCTACAGTTTTCTTTCTCCAGGAAGTTTCAAGCCAACAAAGGAAAGTAAAAAGCAAATGTAAAAGTATTCTGTACATATGCAAATGAGAGATTCAGTCAGGGCACCTGAAACCTGACTTCAGGGAACCTTCAGACTTGCTCTTTAAAAAAAAAAAAAATCAAGATTCCACAACAGCATTGCTAGCGCCACAGCACTAAATAAACTTCAAAAATACAAAGGATGCACGTTTTTAACTGAGGGAATTGCAGACAATCAATAAAAAGGAGGGACGAGAAGTAACCAAATCTGGGGGAACTCCTGCAAGTTTCAGCCATATGCCAGGGGTTGCCAGAAGACAGACAAAATCAGGTGAGCACTGTGTGGTCTACTGAGAGCACTGTCCTTTTGTAAAGGGAAACGGAAGTGTCATTCGTATCTAGACTGATGTTACTTGCAAAACCAATAGTTTTATACTAATGCTAGGTGCCTTTTTGAAAGATAAATCACAACATCTTTTCCATTTGATTTTCATTTTGCTAACTGCTTTTTGACCCTTTCGCAATTACTTATTACAAAATGATGGGAAAAAAATCGTTGTTTTTCAGAATAACCTTCACCCAAGCTGAGCTGAAAATAATTCCATTTCTTTTACTAACCCACTTGGCATCTGAACAACCTGTTTCCCCTTAAGAAGGATAAAAGGCAGAACCTACTGCTGTTAGACTATTGGACCAATTTTAATTTACATCATTACTTGGCAGTATACAATAGTACAGTTTTTTGAAACAAAAAAATGGTTAAAATGGCAATAAGAGTAATGTTTTCTTTAAACATCATCACTGTATTTTATATACGTTATACATTATCCACAATTGCTGTTTGGTGTTTATAGCTTATAACTATTCTTTTCCTATTTTTAAAGCTCATGAAATATTTTCAGGGAGTCAGAAGCATGCCTGTTTTGCTATTTGTGCATTTGAGAGAGTGAAAAATAAAGATTGAGACTATAAGGGGGATAAGGAAGGAAAAGACAAAAAGAATAGAGGCAAGAAATCTAGATACCTAATCCTGGGTCATTGTTCTTATCTATGTGCACCTATTAGGACTCTTTTTATCTAGTTTACTGTGCTAATTTTTTCAGTTACCTTTAACATTGATCTACCTTTTAATCAAATTTACGGTATTTTTAATGATCAGAAATTCTTTTTGTGGCCGATTTTGCTAATAATATGTTATACAACACACTATAGCAATTACAGAACAATATTTTTCTATCTGTTCTTAAAACATGTGAAAGTGCAGCAAGAATTTTATTCACATTTATTCAGAAGATGTAGCAGTCCTGATTAGTTCTATAATTATGGTTTTGCCATAATTTTTAGAATTGTATGGTTATTAAATAATAGTAATACAAAGAGGACTTCGTTTTTTAATCCTGAGAAATACCATGGCTTTTGAGTCATAACTTTGAGGCAGTATAATTGCTCATAGCTGCCATATTGTAAGCTCCTGAAAGGTTATAGATTCTGTGTCTTGATAAAGTTTTGGATACTAGTGCCTAGCACAGAATGTAACACATTGTATGTATTCAAATATGTATTTGTTAAGTGGCTATTATCTTGCAGTATTGTTATTTCCAAGCTCTGTAATGAAGTGGTCAGAAGGTAAGCTCTGCAGTCATATTACCAGGGTTTGAATCCTGACTCTGCTGTATGACCTTGAACAAATCACTTAACCTCTCTGTGCCTCAGTTTCCTTATTTGTAAAATGAAGGTAGTAAATAGAGTTGTTGTGAGTGTTAAATGTTAATACAGGTAGATCACTTAGGAGAAATAATTATATGACAAGCATCGGTGATTTTGCTAAGAGATTACGTTATCTTGTGATCATCATGCAGGGACATTGTATAATTAATTCAGAGCTTTGTGAATGCTTTCAAATATGTAAATAATCAGTGTCTTCCTATTTCCTTTCTATAATAACAATAATAAGTACTATTTATTAAGGGTCGACCATGTTCTGGACACTTCTCAACTCTGCAAGGTAGGTGGTATTAACCTCATGTGCCACCAGGGCTCCTTAAAACCAACACAGTGCCGTCAGGTTGATTCCAACTCATAGCAACCTTCTAGGGCTCCTTCAAAACCAAAAACCAAACTCATTGCCATTGAGTCAATTCCGACTCATAGCGACCCTGTAGGACAGAGTTGAACTGCCCCATAGGGTTTCCAAGGAGCAGCTGGTGGATTTGAACTGCTGGCCTTTTGGTTAGCAGCCAGGCTCTTGACCACTGCTGTACCAGGGCTCTCTAGGAGGGTAAAAACTAGATGCTTAACGTTAAGTGATTTCACTGACTTCACAGCTAGCAAGAGACCCAGCTAGGATTTAAAGTCAGATCATTCTGGCTTCAAAACCCATGCTGCTTTTATTAGGCCA